CATCCAACTTCTGACACCAATTTGTTACGTCTCCGTTTGTTAATTAACTTTCTGTAACTTCGTTCCGACGAAATTTTAGCGACACAAGTCCTTACTTAATAAAACTGGTTTATTCTTTTCGAATACAACTTTACGATACACTTATTTTGAACAATCACGCTAAAACAAACGCTATATCATCGAACGTCAACAATACTTCTGACTGCAGTTCAATTACTCACTATCTACACACACACATTATTGTCTCGTCACGTTGTCACCCTCTTTTATATACCAGACTACCCTATATCTAGTAAATACTAGAGCATTCGCCAAGGTACAGGATAGTTCTAGAAAATAGGTGGCGCCACACCAGTCACGTGACCTCGATGACGCAACAGTACTTAACTTCTTTAAGTAACTACTAGATGCCACTGTTTCTTGTCATTTTACTTAGCTAAAAAAAACATTGCTATTGTGAAACGTTTAATAGTTCTGATTTCTCTAAGAAGCATCAAAGAGAAGATTTTGGCATGGTACAATAAAATCTTGCATGTTTATAACACCAACATGAGAAAATGTAAATATAAATCAATAAAAAATATATGCTCAACCATTTTCCTCTCCTTTGTGTTTTTCTGTTCATGTTCTTATCTTTAAAATATTTATTTTAATTAGTCGACAGAGGAAGTCTCGCTATTTTCCTTCACATAAAAAAACTGACGGATCAACGTTGATGTTTATATAAAATTAATAATTTTCCACCAATTTTGACATGTATGGGTTTTCCACAATTAACCAATCAGGTGGAATGGAACGTGAGGCCCAGTCATTTGGCTATTGTATGTATATATATACATATAGATGGATAGATATCTACTCATCTCTGAATGTGATTGAAGCTTTGTTCTATTCCATATAACTCTGCCAATAGAGCTTCTAACATTGCTGTTATCTTTTGATTAGCATCTGTGGAAGCCTTGTCTGTACAAGTTCTTACCATGATATACGTGGCTTCAGATACACTATCCCACAGGTGTCAGATTTCTTCACATTATTATCGGATAATGTCTCTTTGTCTTGGCCAATCTTTCTCCCAGTTGTAGAGAGTCACAGCTTCCATCCAATCGTATTCCATCAACTGGCAGTGTCATTTGTGTACCAGAAGCGGCTCAAATGTGAGTCAGTTTGTGATCACCTCTCCACTAAAGATGAGGATTTCTCCCATGGTCTCTTTGCCATTAGTACAATGGCGAGAACAACAGCTTAAAATATTCTTGTCTTATCAATGGTTACAGCTTACGAAGCTGAAGCTCCCATGTGTTAATGTCGTATTCACTGTGTTTGACACTTTGATGGAGGTTGCCATGCTTTGTTTTCTTAGGGTATATATGCTGCCCAGAGATGCAAACACACTCCCAGCATTACCATAATTTTGCCACATTATACAATGGGAGAAGTCACTATAGCTGTCCATGGTACATGGCATTGATGCTGATGATCTGAACCTCGGTTTGTCTCTGAGTTTCCTAGTGAAAGCAGGGACTGTGTTGGCCCGAAGAGACAACAGTACCAACTCTTTTACCAAATCTTCAGTCTGATATGTTGGCCAGTAATGCATCTTCTTCCATGGGTCTATTTGCAATGAGGAAGAGTCCAACACTCCCAGTCTCCTTGGCGAATTCATTCTACTTGCTGAAGAGAAAGTCTTGGGTACCTTGAGGTAGCTGTGATGCATCGAGATTGGCACGTGACTCCATTTTCTTGCTGTCATAGGTGGAGGAACAGGTCAGGATTACTGGATCATTGATTCCAATCTATAAACTTGGAGGATCAAAGAGAGAGTGAGACTGTCCATGGTGAAAACATCCCCTTAAATTTTGCAAATGTGAGTCCTGATGCAAAATTTGAGTGAATTCTAATTAGTCAAAGATCCAGGTAAATGTGTAGGTTAGGTGGGTTCATAGTTCCTAATTATGATTGTCAGGGGCATATCTATGGAAAATATCGCCTATGGCAAGAACTGAAATTGCGCCCTGTCCGAACATCTGACACCCATCTTTTAGATAACTTTACTATAATATCAGCTCAAAAAAGCT